TGATTTCAGATTATCCATCAAACTTGGTTGATTTAAAATTTTTTTTTTACATTTTAGTCCAACATTTTCACCAACATTTCACGCTCACGATTTGTCTGCTAATATTATGGTTTGGTGGTACTCGGGAGGCATACTTAAAAGGCCGTCTTAAATAACCCAACGAAAGGGTTTTGTCCGCGAAGTAGTTCTTCGAATTCCCCAATGATCTTATAATAAGCGGAGGAAAAGTGATACAGGTTTTTGACCATGAATAAACAACACAAAAATATATTTTTCATAATGGATAAAGTTCCTTTCTTTTCCTTAATTATTTAGAACTAACGATTTAAATAAATAACACTACCAATAGACTGGAGTAAAATTATCGACTTGGATCCATAATTTAAAGGAATTACCGTCTACCTTATCTAAGAGTGCATTTAATCAAATATATCTCCAATGAATACATTTCGCAACTTGCTACATTTGTTTTTTGTTTTTGTAAGTGGAAAATGTTTACATCAAAAACTCTACTTCCATACATGTTTTACAAAAATGGTGCCTGCAACTATTCGCCGTTGCGTTTCATATGTGTGTATGTAGACTAGGGTGGTCTTTAAAATTAAATGAAGGATTTCTTTTTCAGTCTCACCCTTCAATCGGTAATACCATGATCACAGATATCATGCATATACATTAATTTTTGTCCCGATTGGAGACGGTTTAGGCGTGTCGCACAGGGGGCAAAGTTCAGATTCCTCAATGGAAATTCGAAAAATTAAAATTAATTTTTTTCTCATCTAATACCCAAAATCGATATTACCAATTTTAATTTTTTAGTCTCTATAGAGAAATCTGAAAATCTATAGATATAGAATAGAGGAATGGAAAATCTATATATGATATCTTCGACTACACTAGCATCGATGTAGGGGTTGAGGCATAGGAAATCTGATATAAAAATTTACTTCCTTTATTTAAGGACCAGCCTAATGTACACATATATTTTCAGCGTGTCAGCATAAGGCTCGAGGGCTTTTCTCAGACCGATTTAGTCGTGGCTTAACCGTAATATACGGTAAGGTGCAACAGTGGAAAATGCACAAACGTGCAACATTTGCGCTGTTCAGGGGAATTATGCAGGCAGCGCATCTATATGCGCATATTTACGTATGTATGTACGTAAATATGTTTGTTGCGATTGTGCTACTTTTGGGCCGCGTATGAGTTGTCACATTATTCATAGCAATGCATTGCGATGGCGATGACAACTGCAATATTCACACGCACACACACACACACACCCACACACATACTTCCTCAGCCAAAGAACGGTAGCAACAATTAATTTTTATGATTTTCTGCAGAGATGAGTATCTACATATGTAAGTATGTATGTACATATATGTTCAGTTACATCTGCTGTGATTATTGTGTCTGCGTAGTTTTACTTTTAATTTTTTAATATTCGTCTGTCTGCGGCTTACTGTTATTATAGTTGCATGGTATATTTGTTTGTTTAGCTTTCCACAGTGTAAACAAGAACAAAGCCATTATTTATACCTTCTGAAAACATACATACCTACAAATGTATGTATGTTGCAACTTTTGCTTAATTTAGGGCTGCCAGACGTCCTGGTGTTGCAGGATTTGTTCCGGTTTTAAAAAATGGTCCTGGTGTCCTGGTCCACACTTAAATTATCCTAATTTTTAATGAACGTCAATGCAGACGCCCAATTAATTTTTGGCAGATTCGTTTCTAAGAATTCGCGTTGATTTTTGATGATTATTTTTTTTTGTTGGCGGTGTTCACACATTTTTTTCCACACAAAATACACAAGTGTTCACATGTTGATTTCTTTTTAAATATTCACAACGTTTTTCAGGCCATATTTATTTTCTATAGAAATATTGTACAAGCTTTAGCCAAAACCATATAAATCAGAGTTTTAAACGTTATACAAAGTTTAGGAAAATTCATAAAATTTTCATCAAAATTTCGTGCTTTTTTAATCTGAATCTTTGCAACATTTTTGTGTATACAGTTTTATAGCCCATACAATTTTAGTCTCATGAAGATCAGGAGTCTAAAAAATCACGTTTATAATATTTTTTTATTATTTTCCTTTTCCATATAAGCATGAATTCCTTTTGAAATAAAAAGTGGGAGACCGTTCGCAACAAAATTTAAAAAAGTTAACGCCACTTTTTGTAAATTGCACTTGTTCTGTTAAATAAACCGAAAAAGTAGTTACCAGAAAAGTTACTAAAAATCAATGCGATTTTTTAGCCACTTGAAAATGGCACTTCATGATATGGACTATAAAACGATATACACAAAAACGTTGTAATGTTTCGGAATGAAAGCTAGAAATTTTGTGCAAAGTTTGAAATTCTGATTCATATTAGGGCAATTCATCAAAATGCCTCGTAACCATGTAAACCTCGTAAACTTACTTAATTTTGTATGAAAAATCGAATTATTTACAAGGTTTACGCAGTTACGAGGCATTTACGCGTTTCCATGAATATCCATATTGTTTTGTCTAAAACTTTAATAACATTTTTATACAAAAATACCAAAAAAGTTTTACTTGAAAAACGTTTTGAAAATTAAAAAAAACACGTGAAAACTCGTGTAAGTTACTCTATGTTCGAATGAATATTTCTTTTGTAAGGAAGAAAATAATAATATCACCGGCGAAAAAAAAATTATCCACGCAAGAATTCGCCACTTGAAGCTCTCACTAACTTCGTAATGAAAAATTGTAGTGGTAGTAAAATGTTAAATAAAATGTTAAATAAGTTTTTCTAATTTTCAACAGTTTGAAATTTAGACTTATGGACATACATACAGTGACGAACAAAAGTATTGGCACAGTGCTTTTTTCGCCATATATGCAAAGTTTTTTATTCTAATTTATTTTCGATAATTTTTTACAAAAATATAGTTCATTTTACACCAGAAAACGTAGTAATAAAATCTCAATTATTTTTTGTATGGAGAAAGTGAGCAACACCTTCCACTTAAAAAATTGCCAAAAATCAACGCGATTTTCTAGCAACTTTAAACTAACACTTTGTTATACTAAATTTGAATGGGCTATAAAACTGCATACTTAGAATTTTTCTAAAAAATCTGAATAAAAAGTTGCAATTAGTGTGCAAATTTAATGAATTTTCCTGAGTTTTGCACGAAGTTTAGAGATTTTATTATTATATTGTTTTCTGGTGTAAAATGAACAATATTTTTATAAAAAATGATCGAAAATAAATTAGAATAAAGAACTCTGCATATATTGCGAAAAATTCACTGTGCCAATACTTCTGTTCGGCACTGTATATGGTTTTTGTTAAAAAATGAACTTCGTTTTCATAAGAAAATAATAAATATTAAATAACGAAAAGAAAAATTGTCAAAATGTCGTTTCCCTATTATTTCTCACATGACTGTATGATGAAAAATATTCAAATTTTAAGCGTTTCAAGCAACCAAATAATCATAATTCATTCCGCTCTAGGGATTGTGCAACAAAGCTATATTACTTTTAATACCAGAAATTACTTCAAAATAATGCAACGCCAGAACCAAAGAAAAAGTTAGTATTAGGAAGATATTGGCACCGTATTCACTAGAATCTTCCTAGATCCTGGTCCATGGGTTCAGGATTCTGGCAGCCCTAGCTTAGTTTCAATTTGCTCTATGTACTTTTCATTGTACATATGTACATAAATAGTATTTTCGTTTGTGTGTTGGCATTTGCGAATACGTGACTGAAATGTGGTATTTGGCTGTTAAATATGTAACCTGCGCTCAAAATATTGGCACAAGCCAGTAACATATCGTTTGACTACCATTCGCCGCTGCTAATTAGAAAGTGTAATATTAAAACGAAAGTCAAGTCAGACATGTTTTTGCTTAAAAGTTCGTCGAGCAATTAATAATGGAAATTTAAAAATGGACTGTAAATTGTTGTATGTACATACATGCTATATTAGGGTGCATCACACTCCATACAAAAAAAAACAAAAATCGGTAAGGGTTTCCATCGGAATTATAAAACTTATTATATTTTAAGACGTCCGCCAAAATATTTCGGAAAAATATTTAGATTTACGGGAATTTTTTATAAATAAAACTAGTTTTTAAAAATATGTTTTCGAAAAAATCACCTCCGATGATAGAAGAGTTTAAGCTAAAAATGTCTGCATAAAAATGTTTAAGAATTTTATCAACGGAATCAAAGTAATGGATTTTTGGACGTACGTATTTTCAAATCGGTCTAGCTCACGCAAATCTTGCTGTTTTTCCGAAATATTTTGGCACAGGTTTTTGAATACAATAAATTTTATAATTTCAGTGGAAACAACAATTTACAATCAATTTTTAAGTTTCTATTATAAATCGCTCTTATCCACCCTAATGTACATATGTATATACAAATATACGTACATTTGCAGATATTTTATAATATCCTACTTTTAGTAACATATTTGTACATTTATTTAGTTTTTCGTTTGTTTTTAGACTTTCATATTTTTATCACCATGTTGGGATTTTGACTAATGTTAATTGATTGGGTGTGCTTAACATAACAGCATAATAATGTAATGGGTTCACTTGCAAATCGGTACTGTTGAAATACATATTTTTTTTAATTTTTGATCGGAACGTAACAGCTTTTATGGTCTGATTATGCATACTTCGCATAAACTTCAAACTATAATTTCGTATGTACTTTGTATGTATGGTGTATGCATTCCATTTCCCAGAAAGTTATATTTTTATTGCACTGGTACAAATGGTGAGTGGGCATTTGTCATCTTGATTCATGTCACGCTAACGATTCTATTTAAACCATGTTGTTTATTAGCGGTTAAATACTCTAACAATATACTTATTTTTCAGGAAACACTAGAAATGATTTTTAATATTCTTTAAATAAAGACTTATTTAAATAAATTTATGTTTTAAATAAAATTAATATGACTCAAAATGTTTTCTTTTTTATTCCAGAAACCAACTTTTTCGACGTCATCAGAAACATAAACGGTCAAAATGGGTTCCGATTGTGGCGTTTGGCTGGCCAAATACCTGCTATGCTTATTCAACTTCCTCTTTTTTGTGAGTATGAATATAAAATAATATAGCGCACATCCTTTGCTTTTCGTTCTTCTTTGGGCAATGCTTGGTATCCGAACAAATACACAAATAAAAGTGAAAACTTGTTTAGACTTTTTCTATTGCGGCCACAAACAATAATATTTGTTGCACTCCAAGGCGAGTTCAGCAAACCACAACGTAAATGCGCAAGTACTACATATTTACTATGAGTACATAGTCTAACTACATCTATGTCTACATACATATTTATGTTTATATTAGGGTGAGCCAAAAATGTAACCTAACGTATTTATGACCTTAATATGACTTTTTTTGCAGCGAAAAAATGCTCCCATATAGATAAATTTTTATTCCAATTTTAAAATTTTCCATGTAAATAACATTTACAAATTTTATAACTTTTGAACCGTTTGAGATAAAAACTTTTTCTGGGCATTAACTTGTAGGGCTTTAAATTCTCTAAAAAATTACCCGGAATTACATATCTTAGAGAGGATTAAGAGTATTAAATATGTTAATGATTCTGCTGAACGAGGTAAAGCATTGATACAAAATTATAATCGAACTTCGACGGAGGACGAAGAACAAAAGCAATTTCCTAGTTGCAATAAACTGCATTTTATTCATAACTAAAAAGAATATTAAAGTTTAAAAATGCAATACAATATAAATAAATGGATTAAAATTCTCTGTACGCTAACAAATGTGGTTCAAAATAAAAATTTTCTACACATTTTGTACCATTTTAGTGTAAGTTTTTTCATTTAGCATGAATATTTCCAATCATAAAACCCCAAAACTGCATATTTCTGCTTTTTTTCCGAATTTAATAGACAATCAACTTCAGGGTCTTTTTTTAGAAAATCTAAAGCTCTACAAATTTTTAACTCAAAGGATTCAATAGTCATAATATTTTTAATGAAAAAGAAATTGCATGTTATTTACACGGAAATTTTCAAAAAATTTCATTATTTTGATTGAACTAATAAAATTAATTGCATTAATTAATTAATTTGTAAGTTTAAACTCTTCTATCATCTGATCATTTATTTATATAAAAAAATCGATTTTTGTAAGTATTTTCAAATACGAACAGCTCATGTAAATCTTAAAATTGTTTCCGGAAGTCTTGAAAAATTATAAATTGTTTATTTCCGATAGAGAAACAGTACGGGCCTTTTGTTTTTCAAATGGAAAGTGATACACCCTAATATACATACATACGGACACTTGTATGCCTATATCACATACATACCTATTTGTGTAAATAAACAAATTTGTACCTACATATGTGCATATTTATATACAGTTTTCAATCAGTTGTAGAAATGAATGACATTGTTAGTCCACGTTTAAGTGCCAACTAAAGCTAAAATTACAAAAATACGCGTATTAAATTTTATGCTTCGCAATTTATGTATACTCCCCCGCTTCCGCTACACTCTCAGTGTATGTATACGACTATTACTTTTATGTGTGTGTTTTTGTTTTTATACTAAGCATTTTATAACTTTTGTGATAATACTCTCACAACTACATACTAAGCATTTTCAATGCAAAATGCATTTTATTTGCTACAAATTGATTTGTTTGTTTTCCTTTAATCGAACCACAGGTCGTTGGCACAATCGTGCTGGGCACTGGCATCTGGCTGGCGGTCGACAAAGCCTCACTGATTGCATTGCTTAAGATGGTGGATAGCGAACACATAAACGTGAGTATACATTTTTTTAATTGAACTGCAACCACATATGTAAGTACATATATATACAGGTACATAAATACATAATGATGCCCAATAGCGATTAAAATCAAATGCAGCGCCACATAATCACTTCAATTAACTTATTGTACAATGTCCATTTTAATTTTTTTTTTTTTTGTACTGCTGCCCACCCAGCGCATATTGCAACCCTCACAGTTGCGTATAAATATTTTTCACCAGAAAAAATAAAGGAAACCCCTACAATTTGCTTTCCTTTCAAAATTATGAAATTAACTCTTACTAAATATGTAGCTAGCCGTCTAGCTGGCGGCTTATTTTTTTTTTTATTGTTGACTCTTGTGTCTGTGCACCTGTCTATGGTTGCGTGTCCCTGCCGGCTTATCAAGATTTGATGGCTTGTCATTATATCCGCCACCTCTTTGTTGTTACGGGGTGGACATACATACATATAAGCATTTATTTAATTTATGTGTATTATGCGTATGTATTGGTTAGTTTAATATGTCTTTATTTCATAAAAAGATAATAAACTTTATGCTCCCTCACCACCAAATGGCACGAAATATTCGGAGTAGAATAAGAAATTAAACGTCATCGGCAATTTTACACAATCGTACGCTTGATTAGGAATTGATTTTCGCACTGAGAAAAAAAAAACATTGCTACAAGGTTACTTTAAAATCCTTATTTTTGAATTATAACTGCAAAAAATTTATTTTTCCATGAATTTTTTCTCAGTGTATTACTGTGCTCTATTTTCTTTGGCGACTCTGCTACCTATACCCTTGTGTATTGTGCATAACTTTCTGAAAATCTAATAGAAACCATGATGAGCTATAAAATGGAATACATAAATAGTTGAGCTTTTGACCTATATTTTTATTAGGAAAACATAAAATAGTACTTAAGAATAACACAGCAGACATTAGAATAATAACCAGAAGACAATCCGATTGCGCGGAAATAGCATATAAACTGAGAAATTACAGTGACCCACAATCTTGTCTTCAAATCAGTTTGGGTTGGGCCTTGTAAGCACACAAATGCTTAGCAAATAATTTACTTACTTAGAATGTGCCACTCGATGTGTCAATGCTTCATTCAACTTTCCCTAAAAAGTAACCCTTCAACACTCTTACTTGTATTAACGATTAGCGTGCACACCCTTTGCTCACTTTTGGCACGAATGTTGGTCGAATAAATTGTTGTTTTTGTGCAGTTTCATTATAATAATGTGGAAAAAAATAATAATAATTTGTTACGTGAAAATCGTGATAATGAAAGCAAAAATGCTCAAGCCGCGGTGTTGCAAGCCTATTGCCCGATGCCCATAACTCTAATTTGCCTGCATGTATCCAACCAATATTTGTTTTTAGGAAAATAACTCTAATTGATTATAATAATACCAACACTACTAGTTGGAGTGAAAAAGTTGCAATGCAATGCGGAATCTATGGTCAATGAACCACAAAAATTAGAGCTTTTGAATGCGACACACGAAAATGCACCGTATTTTGTATTTGAGCGTGAAATATGCAATTTTCTTATTTATTAGCGCTGACATGTTAAAAGTGAGCGTGACGTTTATGGGTCTGTGCTCCCATCAGCTGCTTGCTGGTGGAATACAGTGTCTACAAATTACTAAATACATAGCTTAAAGCAGGCTATTGCATGCAGAAAAATGCATAAAGTATGATTAATAAAGCGATTTCGAGATAAATGCACTTAAATGTACATACATATGTATGTAGGTTCTGGACTCCTTTGGTGCGAATGCATGCAATTCAAAATTGACACATTAGGGGTATACACGATCCAGTGCATACTGTCTAGCATGGTGTATAGATAAATAGCATAAATAGCATGATTATTGTTGTTTCATGTGTTCAAACAACTACAAAATAGTCAATCGTGCTATCTATGCACCATGCTAGGCACTATGCACCGGATCGTGAATATACTTATTGATACGAGTGCAGCGGTGTGAAGTGTAAATACAATATTGCTTTAGCTTGAGGCGGTCACATTTGTTTTGGTTTCGACAAAACGTGCAGCAGAGTACCCAATATCATACGAAATTAACATATTTACATTCATGCATTAGGGCGGGTAAATTTACTTTGACTATGCGCGTATAGCATAGGAGGATTCTACGTGTAGTTCTAAGGAAATTTACCGAAGAAACCATGGGTCTATATAAAATCAATTTGGAGTTTGCCTTATTGAGAAAATAGTTTTTGAAGAAAATGTGGAAAATGCATTCCTCATACCAAACAACCCCTAATAGCATGTTTTTTTTACAAAATTTAAGCTCTTCTTTTTGACACTACAGCAAAATGCTAAGAAACCAATTTTCACAATTTGGCAAACTCCAAATTGATTTTGGACTCATGATTTCTTCGGCAAATTTGCTTAAATTACAAGTATAATGTTTCTGTGCTATAGGCAAATAGTCGAAAGACAGGTTTGACCAAAAATCCGTAAAGTGTGGGGCTTGCCCTTCGGCTCACCGCACTAAAAACACACCCCTGCTACGTTTCCCTCCCATCGTGGAGCTACCTTAAGACATCATTTCGCGGAGGCGGAGCGGCCTGCATTGCATTTCAATGAAAATCTGCGGATTTGTTCCGCCAGACGCAATTAAGTTCAAATTGTGTATACCAAATTGCAAACAATGGAGCAGTTTTCTTCTGACTCAAGCATAGCATCCACCAGGTTATTAACCCCAAATGGCCACCTCACCCTTATGCTGTAGTTATCCCTGATTCGAACCAATCATGCCTCGTAAATATTTGGGCCAGGTGGAATTCCATCTCCCCATGTTGACTACATGCTTACCCACTTTGATATCGAGGGTATCCGAAGGTGCGCGACTATCTTAGCTCTTGCGTAGATCTGCTCCATTGTGCATACATTTCGGTGTACGACTGGTTATTTAAACTTTTGGCACACCTTATAGCTGCTTTTGTTGGGACGGTCAGAGTGAACAAGATTCGGAGCAGCCTAGTCGCTGGTATTTGCATTGAGCAGGCATTCAAAAGTGAAGAGATACAGGGATAGCGCTTTGGCGGTTGGAACGGATTTGGGTTCCAATCCCCGGCCGAGGTTCCAATACATACTTTGTACAAGTGTGAGTTTATATGTGCACTCTAAAAAAATTGTGTAGATTTCCTAGCTAAAAAGTAGGTTAGATCAGTAACCTTATTATTGGCGAAATTACTTGCACGATTATTCAATGAATAGTTTGTTTAAATTTCGGACTTTTTAGAGTGTAATATATGTAGNTTCGCGAAATTGCATGCTCGATTATTCAATGAATAGTTTGTTAAAATTTCGGACTTTTTAGAGTGTAATATATGTAGCTGCTGTGGTGTGCGTAAATTTACTACGAAAGTGTGTACAAGCCACAAAATACACATCTTCTGTTTGATTGTTTGATTTCAACCGTAGAATTGTGTAAAACCGCTAACAAAAAGGATTTTTACACACGAAAATGTGTAAGGGAGAAANAAAAGTGTGTACAGGCTACAAAATACACATCTTCTGTTTGATTTCAACCGTAGAATTGTGTAAAACCGCTAACAAAAAGGATTTTTACACACGAAAATGTGTAAGGGAGAAAAATACATACATATTCATTGTGTAAATTAACCAAAAAATTTAAAAAATAAACAAAAGTATACTCGATTTATAGTCGCATTTTTAAACAGATTTTTTAGAGTTTACTTATGTATTTGAGTTAATTCTTCTGATATCGAACTATTTTCGTAAGGCCAGAGCTGAAGAAGAAACACTCACAAAAAGAAGCAGTGAGAGTTAATTACTGCTGTTCGCACGTTTTTTGTGGCGAATTCGTTGTTTACCAAGTCAATGGTTAACAAGTTTTATCGCCTGAAGGGATTAAGCTCACGTAGAGAATGGTTTTCATTTTCATTTGATTGCAACAAATACTTTTTGCTTTGTTTATTTAAACTACACTGCATAGATTTATATTGCAGTGCATTTTTTTTTGGTGTTTTATTCCTTCTAAAACTTGATATTAAAAATATTAAATAACTTTCTTTGTTTTCTACTCTTTATTGTCTCTTCATTTCTTTCATTTCAGCAATTTACACAGCCGCGTGTCATTGAGCAGATGGCGTACGTTTTGATTGTTATCGGCGCTGTTATGTTCTTCATGAGCTTCCTGGGATATTGTGGCGCGATACGTGAGTCGCGTTGCCTGCTGACAACGGTAAGTGCGGAGATCTGATGCATACTAAATTACTAATAATTTTTGAAAGTATGCACATACTATGTAAGCATGCAAGCAGAGGCTGATATACATATGCACATATGAATAAACATACGCACAAAAATAGTAGTAATTATTTTCACTTTCAAAATCGTTTCATAAGTTAAAGTGAAAGTGAAATTGACTTGAGTTGCATAAAATTAGTTCAACTTATTTACGAGTTTTATTCATATAATTTTACAGTATTAAATGGTGCCCTGCAGATCCTTAGGGACTACAATAGAACTCCACATATATATGCAATACGAAATATGAACTGGTGTTCCAAAAGTCTCTTCGAGCTACAACTGTCTTTGATGGTTTAGATGGTGAGAAGGAGCTGAGGTAGATTTTAAACTATCGGTTCACTGTAGCTTTTTAGACAAAAATTCTCGCTGAAAATCTCGGTATCCAACAGGCAAAACTCTACTTTAATATATAGCAGGCAGTCAGCAAGACCCTACTTTCATTCAATATTGTAAACTAAAACGATGAGCGTTGTAGACCGTTTGCCGCATAAACTGGGATGCCACATTTTGATCAGAACATAACGGCCAAGTGCTTGTGGTAGACTTGAGCGAAGAAACATTGGCTTGCGATATAAAAGTGAGATCGTTTCAAACCAAATATAAATGCTTCCGACTGAATTTGAGTTAAATTTTTCTCAGCATCATTGAATATTGCATAGGAATATGTAAAGTCATTCGTAACAACCAATAATATGATTGTTTTATTTAGAGCATTCAGCATTTTGTATTTAATTATGGATATAATTAGCAAATTTAGCAAAGATAAAAAAAAATCTTTTAAATCTGAGTCAACATTAACATCCAGATCCAGAGGAAATTTTTTGTTAAGCTACAAAGCAAGACCCCCCTAGAAATGTTCATTTTGCCAAAAAAATATGCCCGCGAAAATTAAAAAAAAAAAAATCGGACAACAGGAAGACGTGCCTCGAAAGACCCTAAAGTTCAGCATTTTTATGCAATTTTTCTCAAAGCGGTCAATATTTTTCCTATAAGTCACTAGGAAATTTATTATATTTTAATTGCACTTTATGTAGTTTTGCCCCCCACCAAAATTTTACTTGCTATGCATTCAACGCAGCAACCTAAAATGGCGTAAAATAACCCACAGTACAAGGACAAATATTTGCAGTTTATATACATAAATACGTTTGTATATTAAATAGAAATTACTTAGGCCATGTCATTGGATAATTTACATTTTTTCATTTGTTGTCTTTGTAAATACTGTAATTTGCAATTTATATTGGCAGACAAATAACGATGCTCAGTCACCGAATGACTGAATGAATATTATTTATGTATGTTTGCAATGCAATGCAGAGGTGATTTCATTGCACGCGACAACAAACAAAATAAATGAAAAATATAAAAGAAAAACGTTTGAAAGAAATATCGTGAAACACGAAAAGCAAATTTGTATGCAATTGCTTATGGGTTTGTTTGTGGCTATGCGATGGTGCGGTGGTGCGGTGGCGCATGCGCAATGTACGCGGCAGATATCAGCGAATAAGTACGCAAGTACCTACTTATGTATGCTCAACAATGCTAAACGGATGAATGCAGCGCACGTTGATAAGCAACACACCTTGAAAAATTCACTTTCAATGGCAACTATGAAAAAGGTACCAACAGCAAACATATCTACAGACATACATGCATACATATGTACCTGCAAATGCATAAAAACAAATCCTAGAGAAACTATAAAACACAGAAGACCTTAGGGAAATGTGTGGCGCGTGCGTTGGGTCGCTTTTTATCGCGCTTCGTATGCATTAAATTCACAGGTAAGCTAGTCAAGGGAATTAAGAAGTGCCATTGCAGTGATGATGAGATAAGCCTGGTACGAATTTGGTGAAAGTTTTGCTTTTAAGCAATAACAATTAAATACTCGAATATACTACATATTTAGCATACCTGTGTTAAGAGTATTGCAAGTGTCATTGCACTAAGTTTATTCTAAACAACTTTTTCAGTGCCACATACATACATACATTAATACATACAGTGACTCAAACAAGTGTGCACACGTTAATTTTTTTGTAATATTTTCAATGTTTTTCATGCTAAATTTTTTGTTAGTTTTCTATAAGAATATTGTCCAAGCTTTAAACAAAACCATACAAATCCAGGTTTCATACTTTATAAAAAATTTTTGAAAATTCACCAAATTTTCATCAAAATTTTTAACGTTTCAATTTGAATCTTTTGCATTGCGTACCCAGTTGTTTGCCCATACAACCAATGAAGTTTCAAGCTGCTAAAAAAATTGCGTCAATACAAATTTTTTTTTCCTAACGGATTTTCGCACTTTTTTCTATATACATAGGCATGAATTTATGAAATAAAGAGCGGAAGACCATTTGCAACAAATTTCAAAAAAACGCAAGTTTTTATAAAATGCACTCAAACAAAAAATATTAAAAATCAACGAGACTTTTTAGCGCTCGAAACTTGCACATCAGTAGACTAAAATTTTGTAAATGTTCTAAAGACTCAGATTGAAAAGTTTGAAATTTCGGTGGTAATTAGTTAGATAACTAGGATATTAGGATCTTATAGTTGGAATTTCGAGTTTTGAGTACATTAGGGCGTAATATAGCGGGGGTTATTTAGGTTATATGCGCCCCAAAAAATGAAGAAATACACAAATCGCACATTTGCTGCAAGAGTGTCATAATCCAAGAAATCTGAATCTCGATAAAAACAGCTTTAAATTTCTTAATTTAAATACAGTGTCAGTCAAAAGTGTTCAGTAAATTTTTTCCATACTTTGGAAATATTTTGATTTATTTAAATTTTATTATTTTTTAGATAATAAAAATATAGTGAACACTACAACAAAATCCATTAAACGCAAAGTTTCTAAGTTTGTAACAATTAAAAAAAAACGTCAATTTTCATCAAACTTTCGCACTTTTTGGGTACGCAGTTTTATAGCCCATAAAATTTTAGTATGACAAAGATTTCCTTTGAAAGCGAAATTAAAAAAAAGACATGTTTGATGCGTGAAGAAGACTTAGAAAAAAGAAGATTCCGTCCGATTCCCCATACCCGGCTATAACGGCAATTGTTAATCTTTGAAAAATTGTTGGAGAATTCACATTCCAATATAATTTCGCAGATTTATTTTACAGATTTTGAGATTTCCCGAGCTGGGAACTTCTTGGGGCTCGTCGTAAAAGTTTGCGCTCGTTTGCAAATTCGGTTCCAGTACTTGATTTCAAAATAAATGGTTGCATACTTTTAGGTATTATTTTTAAAAATTTCCTCGACAGTGGCAAGCAAAATAAATGACAGTCAGTTTTTTCTTCATTTATTTCTTGTTTTATGATAAACTATCTCAGTTCACTCAATTGCTTTTAAATTACGAATGAGCCGTAACTTACGATGGTGTGAAAATTTTTAGAGGAACATATGTATGCGACGATTTCGTGAAAGTTATATCTGTGGAAGTTATGTCGAAACCCCGGTTCATGTACCTTTGAATGAAATAACAAAGAGTATCCAAAAGACAATCACCCAATCCAAAGGAGGAGTCAGAGAATACCCCCTCTTTAGCCACACACCCCACTCCGACGCGACAGTTCTGTCCCAGCGCATGCGGTGAAAGACCTTAAGTAGGGACCAGACAATTTCAACTGGAAGGACATAGTTAAAAGCCCTTTGATGTCGAGCAAAATAATCACAGTGAAGTTTTCCTCTATTGACTTTACGCTCCTTTACGCCACCCTTAATGTATGATTGATGAGCTCCTGAGAGGCAATCAACAGGAATCCTGCTTCTAATATGCATCAATCAGGGTGTTACAAAGGGGTAAAATGCCAGATGCCTCGTTTAAGACTCAAAATTATTAAAAATATTTTTTTCGTTCAGTACCCAACATCGATACTACTAAAGTCCATATGTGATATCTTCGACTAAAGAAGTATCGATTTTGGGTCGACTAAAGTAGTATCGGTTTTGCGACAAGCCTTAACCGTCTCCAATCGGGACCAAAATTTATATGTGATATCTTCGACTATAGTTGCATCGACGTTGGGGTTGAGGCTTTGGAAATCTGATGTAAAAATTTGCTTTCTACATTTAAGGACCATCATAATGTACATATGTATCTTTATGTAGCTATTCATATTATCTCTGAGTAGCACTTCGCACGCAATTGCGTCCAAGCGACATTGAATTCAGCGCCAAGTCACGTGCTCTCGTANAGTTGAGGCTTCGGAAATCTGATGTAAAAATTTGCTTCCTACATTTGAGGACCACCCCAATGTACATATGTGTCTTTATGTACCTATTCAATATTATATCTGAGTAGCACTTCGAACTCTCTTTTCGACGCAGGCAAAAACCAAAGCGAGGCAAATTGCGTCCAAGCGACATTGAATTCAGCGCCAAGTCACGTGCTCTCGTAAATCAGTGCATGTCAGAAATAAAGGCGTCCCATAGCTGGATAAGTTGTTATCTTTCCTACACCAAAGAAAACTAAAAAACAAAAAAAGTTTTAAAGCGATAAATGCATAAAGCGAAGCACACAAACCAAACGCTTAACCGCAGCCGGTGGGCATGAAGAAGGTGCATAGTCGTTATTTATGCATTTATTACACGTTATACTCGTACATTGTTATTTTTGTTCCGTCGGCGTGTCTTGCCTTTCCTTCTCTATTTAAACTGTGGTTATTAATAAATGTATTACCATATTATCACTGATACTGGTATTGTTTTTGTTGTTGGTGGTGTACAATGACCGTGCACGCATGCGCAACCAAGCATAAGCGGACAATGGTTACATCAAGAGAGCAGACGCAGACAAGTCATCAAGACGAGCNGTAATGAATGCAGCCAAGTGTGGTGTTGAGTTGGAGTTGGAGTTAAGCCACACACATTTAATACCTATTGAATGTAGCAAAGTTTTTTTATTTGTCTTACCTC